GATGTCCCCGTTGTCCCCAGACTTCCAGAGGTGCCAGCGCGCCATGGCCGCCCGCGGTGCCGACGCCAGCCCGTGCCAGTGGTACTTCCGCGTCTACAAGTCGCTGTGTCCCACGTCCTGGGTGAGTGCCACCGTCCCCGGTGTCACCTGTGTCACCTGGGGTCACCACAGCGTCACCATGGGGTCACCAGAGGTCACTGGGGTCACCATGGGGTCACCATGGGGTCATCAGGGTCACCAGGGGTCACCAGGGGGTCACCATGGGGTCATCAGGGTCACCATGGGGTCACCAGGGGGTCACCTGGGGTCACCACGGGGTCACCTGGGGTCACCACAGGGTCATCAGGGGGTCACTGAGGTCACCAGGGGTCACCAGGGGTCACTGGGGTCACCATGGGGTCATCAGGGTCACCAGGAGGTCACCAGGGGGTCACCATGGGTCACCATGGGGTCATCAGGGTCACCAGGGGGTCACCAGGGGGTCACTGGGGTCACCAGGGGGTCACCATGGGGTCATCAGGGTCACCATGGGGTCACCAGGGGGTCACCTGGGGTCACCACGGGGTCACCTGGGGTCACCACAGGGTCATCAGGGGGTCACTGAGGTCACCACGGGGTCACCATGGGGTCACTGGGTCACCAAGGGTCACCAGGGGGTCACTGGGGTCACCAGGGTCACCAAGGTCACCATGGGGTCACCATGGGGTCACCAAGGGTCACCACAGGGTCACTGGGGTCACCAGGGTCACCATGGGGTCACCACGGGGTCACCGGGGTCACCACGGGGTCACTGGGGTCACCACGGGGTCACTGGGGTCACCATGGGGTCACTGGGGTCACCATGGGGTCACTGGGGTCACCAGGGGGTCATCAGGGTCACCAGGGGGTCATCAGGGTCACCAGGGGGTCACCATGGGGTCACCAGAGGGTGACCATGGGGTCACCTGGGGGTCACCAGGGGTCACCAGGGGTCACCAGTGGTGTCCAGGAGTCACCAGGGCTCAGCAGGGGTCACCACGGGGTCACCATGGGTCACCATGGTGCCACCATCCCCAGTGTCACCTGGGGTCACCACAGCGTCACCACGGGGTCATGCTGGGTCACCAAGGGTCACCACAGGGTCATCAGGGTCACCAGGGGGTCACCAGGGGGGCACTGGGGTCACCATGGGGTCATCAGGGTCGCCAGGGGGTCACCACAGGGTCACCATGGGGTCACTGGGGTCACCAGGGGGTCACCAGGGGTCACCACAGTGCCACCGTCCCCAGTGTCACCTGGGGTCACCTGGGGTCACTGGCGTCACCACGGGGTCAGCACAGTGTCCCCGAGAGTCCTGAGAGTGCCCCAGGTGTCCCCAGAGTGTCCCCATGGTTCTCAGGATGTCCCCAGAGTGTCCGCAAGGGTGTCCCCAAATGTCCCCAAATGTCCCCAAGTCCTTCAGGGTTCTCAGGATGTCCCCAGAGTGTCCCCAAATGTCCCTAATGTCCCCAAAGTGTCCCCAAATGTCCCCAATGTCCCCAAGTCCTTCAGGGTTCTCAAGATGTCCCCAAAGTGTCCCCAAGGGTGTCCCCAGGGAAGGTGTCCCCAAGGTCCCCAAGGTGTCCCCATGTCCCTGAGGATCCCTACAGTGTCGCTAGGAGTGTCCCCGAGGTGTCCCCGAGGTGTCCCCAAGGTCCCCACAGTGTCCCCACGGTGTCCCCAGGTGTCCCCAAGGTCCCCAAGGTGTCCCCACAGTGTCCCCAAGGTCCCCAGTGTCCCCATGGTGTCCCCAGGTGTCCCCACAGTGTCCCCATGTCCTTGAGGATCCCCACAGTGTCCCCAAGGTGTCCCCAAGGTCCCCACGGTGTCCCCATGGTGTCCACACAGTGTCCCCATGTCCTTGAGGATCCCCACAGTGTCCCCGAGGTGTCCCCAACCCCCACAGTGTCCCCAGGGGTGTCCCCAAGGTGTCCCCAAGGTCCCCACAGTGTCCCCGAGGTGTCCCCAAGGTCCCCAAAGTGTTCCCAAGGTGTCCCCAAGGTCCCCGCGATGTCCCCAGCCATCCCCTCTGTCCCCTCAGGTGACCACGTGGGACGAGGCCCGCGAGGAGGGGACCTTCCCCGGCAAGATCTGAGCGTCCCCACCCCCCCCGGGTGACACCAGTGACACCGCGGTGACGCCACGGGGGAGGGGAGGGGACACCGGTGACACCGCGGCGGGGGAGGGGAGGGGACGCGGCTGTCACCCCCCCCCCGGGGAGGGGACAGGCGGTGGCACCGCCAATAAAGGGTTAAAAACTGGGCCTGGACCTCCAAATGTCACCTTGGGACCCTCAAATGTCACCTGGGACCCTCAAATGTCACCTGGGACCCCCCAAATGTCACCTGGGATCCCCCAGATGTCACCTTGGGACCCCTCAAATGTCACCTGAGACCCCTCAAATTCCGCCTGGGACCCTCAAATGTCACCTGCGACCCTTCAAATGTCACCTTGGGACCCCCAAATGTCACCTGGGACCCCCCCAAATGTCACCTGGGACCCCTCAAATGTCACCTGGGACCCCCCAAATGTCACCTGGGACCCCTCAAATGTCACCTGGGACCCCTCAAATGGTACCTGAGACCCCTCAAATGTCACCTGGGACCCCCCATATGTCACCTGAGACCCCTCAAATTCCACCTGGGACCCTCAAATGTCACCTGAGACCCCTCAAATGTCACCTGGGACCCCCCAAATGTCACCTGAGACCCCTCAAATGTCACCTGGGACCCCTCAAATGTCACCTGAGACCCCTCAAATGTCACCTGGGACCCCCCAAATGTCACCTGAGACCCCCCATATGTCACCTGAGACCCCTCAAATGTCACCTGGGACCCTCAAATGTCACCTGAGACCCCTCAAATGTCACCTGGGACTCCCCAAATGTCACCTGAGACCCCTCAAATGTCACCTGGGACCCCCCAAATGTCACCTGAGACCCCTCAAATTCCACCTGGGACCCTCAAATGTCACCTGGGACCCCTCAAATTCCACCTTGGGACCTCCAAATGTCACCTGGGACCCCCCAAATGTCACCTGGGACCCTCAAATGTCACCTTGGGACCCTCAAATGTCACCTGAGACCCCTCAAATGTCACCTGAGACCCCACAAATGTCACCTGGGACCCCTCAAATGTCACCTGGGACCCCTCAAATGTCACCTGAGACTCCTCAAATGTCACCTGAGACTCCTCAAATGTCACCTGGGACCCCTCAAATGTCACCTGGGACCCCCCAGGATCAGTCCCCATAGAAGTCTATGGGTAGACCTGGTGTCCTCCCCCCTGGGAGCCTTCCCAGTTCCTCCCAGTCCATCCCAGTTCCTCCCAGTTCCCTCCCAGTCCCTCCCAGTTCATCCCAGTTCATCCCAGTCCCTCCCAGTTCCTCCCAGTTCCCTCCCAGTCCCTCCCAGTTCATCCCAGTTCATCCCAGTCCCTCCCAGTTCATCCTAGTCCCTCCCAGTTCATCCCAGTTCCCTCCCAGTCCATCCCAGTCCATCCCAGTTCCTCCCAGTTCCCTCCCAGTCCCTCCCAGTTCATCCCAGTTCATCCCAGTTCCCTCTCAGTTCATCCCAGTTCATCCCAGTTCCTCCCAGTCACACCACAGGTGACACCAGTGACATCACAGGTGACACTTTTACTGTCCCCAGCCCGGGTCATGGCCCCAGGGGGACACCGGGGAGTGGCCCCAGGATGGCCCCGGTTCCCCCCAGTTCATCCCAGTTCATCCCAGTCCATCCCAGTTCATCCCAGTTCATCCCAGTCCCTCCCAGTCCCTCCCAGTCCATCCCAGTGACGTCACAGGTGACATCACAGGTGACACTTTTACTGTCCCCAGCCCGGGTCACGGCCCCAGGGGGACACCGGGGAGTGGCCCCAGGATGGCCCCGGGGGCCAGGGGGGCTCCCAGTGCTCCCAGTGGCCCCCCCAGGGCTCCTCCCAGTCCTCCCAGTGGCCCTCCCAGTGCTCCCAGTGGCCCCCCCAGTCCTCCCAGTGGCTCCCCCAGTCCTCCCAGTGCTCCCAGTGCTCCCAGTGGAGCTCCGAGGGCTCCTCCCAGTGCTCCCAGTGGAGCTCCGAGGGGGCGTCCCAGTGCTCCCAGTGCTCCCAGTGGAGCTCCCAGTGGTTCCAGCAGGCGACCTGGGGGGGAGGACATGGGGTGGGGTCCTTATCTTCATCATCGTCATCTTCATCATTGTCATTGTCTTCATGCCATCATTGTTGTCTTCATCCCACCATCACCATCTTCATCGCCCATCACCCCATCACCCTCATCATCATCATCATCCCACCACCATCTTCATCCCACCATCACCATCTTCATCCCACTCATCCTCACCACCATCATCATCATCATCATCCCACCATCTTCATCCCATCACCACCATCTTCATCCCACTCATCCTCACCACCATCATCATCATCATCATCCCACCATCTTCATCCCACCATCACCATCTTCATCCCACTCATCCTCACCACCATCATCATCATCATCATCCCACCATCTTCATCCCACCATCACCATCTTCATCCCACTCATCCTCACCACCATCATCATCATCATCATCCCACCATCTTCATCCCCCCATCACCATCTTCATCCCACTCATCCTCACCACTATCATCATCATCCCATCTTCATCCCACCATCACCATCTTCATCGCCCATCACCCCATCACCCTCATCATCATCATCATCCCACCACCATCATCATCCCACCACCATCTTCATCCCACCATCACCATCTTCATCCCACTCATCCTCACCACCATCATCATCATCCCATCATCACCATCTTCATCCCACCATCACCATCTTCATCACCCATCACCCTATCACCCTCATCATCATCATCATCATCATCATCATCATCCCACCACCATCTTCATCCCACCATCACCATCTTCATCCCACTCTCATCCTCACCACACCATCACCATCTTCCCCACCATCATCATCATCCCATCATCATCATCTTCATCCCACCATCACCATCTTCATCCCATCATTGTCTTCATCTCGTCATCATCATCTTCATCCCACTCTCATCCTCACCATCATCATCATCCCACCACCATCTTCATCCCACCATCACCATCTTCATCCCACTCATCATCATCTTCATCACTTCATCATCATCCCATCATCATCATCATCCCATCATCATCGTCTTCATCGTCTATCATCCCACCTGCCTCATCATCATCTTCATCACTCATCATCCCAACACCATCTTCATCCCATCATCATCATCCCACCACCACCTTCATCCCATCATCATCTTCATCACCCATCATCCCACCACCGTCTTCATCCCATCATCATCATCATCATCATCCCACCACCATTTTCATCCCATCATCACTATCTTCATCGCCCATCATCCCACCACCCTCATCATCATCATCATCATCCCGCCACCATCTTCATCCCACCACCACCACCATCTTCATCCCATCATCATCTTCATCGCCCATCATCCCACCACCCTCATCATCATCATCCCACCACCATCTTCATCTCATCATCATCATCTTGCATCACCCATCATCCCACCATCTTCATCCCACCATCTTCATCCCATCATCACCATCTTCATCCCACCACCGCCTTCATCCCATCATCATCATCATCATCATCCCACCACCATCTTCATCCCATCATCACCATCTTCATCGCCCATCATCCCACCACCCTCATCATCATCATCATCATCCCGCCACCATCTTCATCCCACCACCACCACCATCTTCATCCCATCATCATCTTCATCGCCCATCATCCCACCACCCTCATCATCATCATCCCACCACCATCTTCATCCCATCCTCATCCTCCCCCCATCATCATCATCATCACCACCATTTTCTCCTTCCCCCCATCACCACCATCATCATCACCATCACCATCATCATCACCATTACCACCATCACCATCATCATCCCACCACCACCTTCATCCCATCATCATCATCTTCATCGCCCATCATCCCACCACCCTCATCATCATCATCCCACCACCATCTTCATCCCATCCTCATCCTCCCCCCATCATCATCATCATCACCACCATTTTCTCCTTCCCCCCATCACCACCATCATCATCACCATCACCATCATCATCACCATTACCACCATCACCATCATCATCCCACCACCACCTTCATCCCATCATCATCATCTTCATCGCCCATCATCCCACCACCCTCATCATCATCATCCCACCACCATCTTCATCCCATCATCATCGTCATCGCCCATCATCCCACCACCCTCATCATCATCATCCCACCACCATCTTCATCCCATCATCATCGTCATCGCCCATCATCCCACCACCATCACCATCATCATCCCACCACCACCATCTTCATCCCATCCTCATCCTCACCCCATCATCATCATCATCACCACCATTTTCTCCTTCCCCCCATCACCACCATCATCATCACCATCACCATCATCATCACCATTACCACCATCACCATCATCATCACCGTCACCACCATCACCATCATCATCACCATCACCATCATCACCACCACCACCACCTCCATCCTGGTGTGTCTTCTCACCTGTGTTCAGGTCCCGGGGGGGCCGAGGGGCGGCGCCGGTGGCCAGGGGACACCAGGGGGCTGTGGGGGGACACCGGGAGGTCACCGGGAGGTCACGGGTGGACACAGGGATGGACACGGGGGTGGAGAAGGTTGTGGATGGACACGGGAATGGACGAGGACATAATGGATGGACACAAGGATGGACACGGGTGGAGAAGGTCATGGATGGACACGGGAATGGACACAGGGGTGGAGAAGGTCATGGATGGACACAAGGATGGACACGGGTGGAGAAGGTCATGGATGGACACAGGGATGGACATGGGGGTCATGGATGGACACAGGGATGGACACGAGGACATTGTGGATGGACACAAGGATGGACACGGGTGGAGGTCATGGATGGACACAAGGATGGACATGGGTGGAGAAGGTCATGGATGGACACGGGAATGGACACAGGGGTGGAGAAGGTCAGGGATGGACACGGGAATGGACACGAGGTGGAGAAGGTCATGGATGGACACAAGGATGGACACGGGTGGAGAAGGTCATGGATGGACACAGGGATGGACACGAGGACATCGTGGATGGACACAAGGATGGACACGGGTGGAGGTCATGGATGGACACAAGGATGGACATGGGTGGAGAAGGTCATGGATGGACACAAGGATGGACACGGGTGGAGAAGGTCATGGATGGA